GTGGGGGGGGGATGGGGTTCGGGAAGGTCATGCCAAAGTCTTTTTTTGGCACTGTTTGGGGGTTGGGGAGGGTTTTGTCGGGGTTGCTGACAAATGCAACAGAGGTGAACTACACGCACGAGGAAACAAGTACAAGACTGACTGAAGTTCATGAGTTCGAACAACAACATTTAAACACAATTTTTCAAAACCATTGAGTCATTCTCCATCATCTGCAAGAAACAATCATTGCACAAGTTTTGAAAGTATAACATTACAGGCAAACGAAATAACACGGCGAAACAGCTGCGCCGTACAGACACAACAATAAAAAGACACATGCACACTGGACTCAGTCAAATAGTGCGCGAAAAAACTGTCGAATCATCTGAAACATCGATACAAAAATAAAAGGTGAAACAAAGAATGTGCAATCCTCTACAAAAAAGTGTGTGAAGAAATACTCAAAAAAGTGCAATTCTCTACAGCATCGATGATAAAATAAAACAAGAAACAAAAACAAACTACACCCGTGCATGGAAATAGTATACAATAGTCTAACCACCTATACAAATACAAATGCAGTCATGACGATCTGCACAGACTACTCCTACGAACAGAAGGCCTCGTGTCAAGCACTACAGACTACTCCTACTAACACAAGGCCTTGTCTCAAGCACTAAATATACTGTATACTACTACCAATCAGAGGATGAAAGAAGACGAATAGTGAAACTATGCATCATCGTCGTCCACAATGTCCTTCCTCCTCCTCTGCGGCACCACACCTGTCACACCATCCCCACGACCTGTGCCGCCTGCCGGCGCGTGTGTAGTATCCGGAGCATGAATCTCCCCCTTTGGCGCCGCCTCAACCCCTCCCTGTGGTCGAAGAAGATCGTACACGGAAACCCTCCTCCGCTGGCCATAAGGCATCTCCAAATCGTCTATGCCAGACTCCCAAACGACTCGTGCCTGTGACGGTCGCTGCTTTGTCTCTGGCCTCACATCCTCCCGCAATATACGTGCAGCCATGCTCCTCCCGGGGGGCGCATTGTGCTCGGCGTGGTCGCCCGTGGCCGCTGTACGCCCTGCGGTATGCGGCAACGTCGCCTCAGCAGGTGCGCTCATGGGCTGGTCCGTCGCTCGGTCGGAGACCCTCTCCTGCCATCATACTGCGTCTGCGATAACGTCCCCACCCAAAATCGCCCGTGTCCGTGAATGTAAACCGTCCAACCCAGGCTAACTCGCCCGCATCGTTTGCGCCACTCTTCTCACAGTACTAAGACTTTTCCCTGCTCTCATCTTCTTCTTCCATGACTCAGGAGAAGGAGACTCCCTCGCAGGTGTCGGCGAGGGGCCCCGTGTCGCCTTTGCCGCGCCTGTACCCTCCAATGCCTCCATATGTGCGGGTGTGCTGACACCTGTGGTGGACGATGGCACTGACGGGCTGCAAGGCACGTAAGCCGGGCCCTCTGCCATCAATCTCCTCGACGCCTCGGCCATCCGCCCGCGGCGATCTGCCTGCAACGGGTCCTCTAGTGCCTGCCGCTTCAACTCCCCCGCCGACATGGCCCCACCGAGAGGCAATACGCAAACACCCTGAACTGGCGACGCAGGTCTCTCGCCCGCATCCCCTATGCCCACACCGCCGCATTCGCCCTCTGCAACACCTGCCTCAACGCCCGTCTCGAGCATCCGCGCTACACGTGCCCTCGATGCAACACTCTACGTAATCTCGCAGCGGCTAGCCAACCCCTGCGCCCTCCTCCTCTCCTCGCTGTCGATCCTGTCCTGCTCTGACTCTGTCGCCCGCGCCTGCACTGATCGACAATCCCTATCATCCCCAGCTGCACGCTCGTGCTGCCCCGACCAACCCGGTGCCCCCTCTGCTGCCTCCCGCAACATGCTACTACTGATGTCGCCCGTGCTGTATGAAGGTATGTCACGAAGTATCTGACTCACGGGCGCGACCGCTGCGTCCGCATTGACACCAACACGCTCCCCTGCCGGTGTCGGAGGATGCCCTAACAAAACATCAAAAATGCTGTCGCTGAAACTGACACCCAACTGTGCAGATGACCTCTCAACCTCTCCAGCATCGCCACTACCACCAGCAAACCCGCCTGCGCCCTCCGCAGACACCGGTGCGCCCTCTATAGACGCCGCTGCGAACTCTGCAGGAGACAGAGCAACCTCTACAGGGGAGGGAGCAACCACAGCTGCCTCAACGGGCCTCCCCTCATCAACCCAATGCACAGTGCGAGTGGACGATGTAGACTCTCGCCTTACTGCTCCTCTGCCAGCACGCCCTGCACCACTTGTGCGCCCTCCACCCCCAACACCCGGCCCTCTGCCTCCGCTGCCTGCACCATTGCATCGGTCACCACGCTGTCTCTCGGATTTCCGCAAACCGCCCACAGCCTGTCCACCGTCGCCGCCCTCGTCGTCGTCATCGTCACCATCTCCGCGCATCGGGGAATAACAGGGATCATCCTCATCCTCACTGCTGCCCTCATATCCCTCCCTGTCGTCACCATTGTCGTCGTCTCCCTCATCACCGCGCTCGCAAATCCCTCCCTGTCCGCGACGATCGGTCGAAGGGTGTGGCGTCGTGCTCTCAACACGGTCCGCAGGGCCTCGGTGCGAGACGTCGGGAGCACTCGAAGGAGGGCGTGCTGCGGGAGACGGTGCAGCGGCTGTCGGGGATGCACGTGTGCGAGGACGTGGAATCTGGATGAGCGGAGTGTCGTTGTCATCGTCATCAGAACCTCCAAACTCTGACTCCACGGCCAGGTCGTCCGGATCGGACCACGGCTCGGCCTCCATCGCGTCCATGCCATGGCATCAGGCTCGGGATCGTACACCGACTCCAACTCATGCGCCATGAGCACTGTGGCGCGACGACCGAAATACGTCTCGACGCTGGGAGGTGCCTTTGAAAGGCGATCCTTCCGCCCGCGCTGGACCTGTCGGTCGCGCTGTGCCTCGGAGACTCGGTCAGCCGGCCGAACACCCTCATCACGAGGCGGAGGAATAGCATCCTCTGTCTCCTCCTCAAGGTCCTCCCATGGAAGAACGTACCCTGACAACGAGTCAATGTCAAGTTGGTGGATATCTCCACCAAATGAGCCAGCTTGATGAAACCAAGCTGGTTACGCCTCTTCACCTGAACGCGCTCATGGACGGCCCAATTCCACTCCGCCGGAGAGGCGCACGTCCATGTGTGCGACAAGTGAATGGCGATGCTCTGAAGGAGAGGGACCCCGTCCCCGTGCTGAACTCACCACTGCCCCACCTGTAACGTCTCCTTCTCCCCTTTGCAGGCGGCTGCATCCCTGTCTCCCTCGACCCCTCCATACGTCCAATCGCCCTCCCGAGAATGAAACTCCGCCAGCTGCGTGCACAACGTCTGATACAAATCCTCGTCACCACCAGTCTGCCGGCGAAGGTACCGCAATGACTCGTCTTCTAGTATCCGCTCGTGGTCGGTACGCCTCGCCGCTCCAAGAAAAGTAATGTTCCTGTGCCGCGGGTTGAGGAGGTGGGCCATGCAATGTGCGGGCTCCAACATATGAGCGACCCGCGCCTGACAAGCCTGAACATTGATGTGGAGCTCGTCCTTCGACGTCTTGTTCAGGCTCGCTCTCGCCACCCTATCGACCATGACAAAACCCCACGACCACATGCGAGTCATCACGCGTCCTCCCCTATCCAGACGCCGTAGCAACTGCATCACAGGCGTCATCAGCGCCACGATGTCCTCCACGTGCTCCTAGAATGGCGCGTACCACACTTGATGACGCACCCATCTGGCCTGCAGAAAAATGGACCACCTCCATGCAGTCCGCAGCCAATCGTCGCTCATCATCAACGCCTCCAACGCTCTGCGACGATTCAGCAGCCTCTCCAATATCAAGTAGTGGGTGGCAAACCTCGTCTGCAAAAGGTGCACAAGCTCCCTGCCTCGCCGCTGAGACGCGGATGGCGCAGAGCTGGAACCACCAGCCGCCGCGGAGGCGGAAGAGGGGTGGGCGGCAGAGAACCGTCGATAAAGGCTCAGAGCCGCTCTATGCTCTCTAATAAAACGCACGACAGCTCGAGCCCTGATGATGGTGTCCTCCCTCTTTCCAAGGCTCCCGTCACGCCCATCCTTCGCGATGTCTGACAACAACAAGTTGCAGACATGGACCGCACACGGAAGCCAAGTGATGCGGTTGTACTTGACCTCCTCCTCGGCAAGAAGCTTGGAGGCAGCGACATACGCAGACGCGGAATAAGTACAAATGGCGTTCACCTTTTCGACACCGAACTTGTCGAACACGTCCTTCCATTGCTCCACGACGGCCTCTGCTGTTTCCTGAACAGCACCGTCCCGCTGCACAGTCCTGAAAAGGTACGCGCCCGTGGGACCAGCAGTAAGGAAGTTGACTATCTGGTCGCTCGTGATGGACTTGCGACCATCCGTGAGGATGGTCGCTCCCGTCGCCTCAATGTCCCTGCGGATGGCAGCCACCATGTCCACCACAACTCGCTGGTGCTGAGGGATGCCGTCGCAAGAAATGACACGGTGTGTGGGTAATGCTGGATGTGCAAACGGCGGACACTCGAGCTACTTCTTCCTCATCCTATGATACTCTCGCCTCCTCGCCGCCTCGAATGGGATGCCGCTCACATACCACCACTGCAAGACGGAGTCGGAGAATTCTCGTTGCCACACTGGATCGAAGGTCTCCAGCATGGACGTCTGTCGAAGAACTCTGCTCTTTTTCGGTTGAGAAGGTGCTGATCTCGCCTCAGTGGCAGTCTTTCGCGCCTTCCTCTTTCTCTTCTTCGATCCTGCAGCCTCCTTCATCGCCCTGGCTGCCCCCTCTTGGCCACGACGGCCATCGCCCATCAACCCCCGATCCAGAGAGGCCCCAAGGTATGCTCCCTGATCGTCGTCATCGCCGTCGTCGTCGTCCTCGTCAGGGGTGCTGTCCTCGTCAACGACCTTCTCCTTCCTCATCTTTCCCCTGGCGCGCTCCACCTCTCGCCGCACCTCCATGTCCTCTGCATCACTCTCACCATCATCATCTCCACCCTCGACTGCCCTCCTCTCCTCCTCGCTGTCCTCGAACTCCTCCTTCCCCGTCGGCTCCCTCCCCGATCCACATATGTTGTCTCGAAACCCACGAGACTTCAGAAAGTCCACGATCTTCCGGTGATGGCTTGGATTGAACCCGTACTTTGTCTTGTTCCAGATCTCCGCCATCTGCTCCACAGAGATTTTGGCGCAATTGTTCTTGATCGTGAAATGTTGTGCAACTTTCGTCTGGCTCCCCTGAAAACCCTGACCACACAGCCTGCACTGCATGAGGAAATTGCCATTCGAGTTCGGCATCGTCTGGCCCTTCGTAATCCACTTAAATCCGCAAAACTTCAACTCCGCCTCCCTCTGCTTGTCCTTACTAACCGGAACGAATGGCTGATCTCCCCTCCCTTTCCCGGGCGTCATCGCAGCCTTGCAGGGAGCCCAGCGCCCACAGATACCGGAGCACGGTAAACACTGCTAAACAGCACCAACGCCCGTCCCCGGGCCCGTCCCCCCTTCCCCCCGGGCCCCTCCCCCCGTCGCCAAGCACGGCCCGTCCACCGACCCGTTTAGGCATACGGGCCGTACGTACGGATGGTCTGCGTACGTATGCACGTACGGGGCTGCGTACACGCCGCCCGCTGCCGCTGCGCTGCGTTCCCGCCCGAAGAAGTCGCCGCCGCCCTCTGTCGCGCTGCCACCGCCGGCACCGCCGTCGTCTTCGTCTTCGGAACCGCCGGCACCGCCGGCACCGCTGCCCGAGGCCCGCGGGGACTCGGGCAGCCATTTTTTTTTTCTCATTTTTCACCATTTTTTTTTTTATTTTTTTTTCAACAGCACCACACTGCCCTCAGTGACCTGTCCCAACACCCTATGGCCTTCAACCCCCCCAAGCACCCCCCCAGAGGCTCGTAGCACGCTCGTACGGTGAGCGTCCGTACGGCCGTACGGGCGTCTGTACGTCCGTCCGTCCGGCCCGTACGGGGACCCCCCGTGCGACGTACGGGCGACGACACAGGATGGACCCTCTTATCAGAGTCTTATGTGATCCGAATCCCCGGACATCTTCGCACTCACCCTAACAGGCTATGCTCCATGCTTCAAAGTTTGCACCTCTCGCTGAGACTGGTGAGTTTTCATAAAAAAATATCAATGCTTCCCCCAGCCATGGATGGCCATGTGGACGTCGAAGAAGTTTCGGTCCATTTCTCGATTATGCATGTGTCATCCTTGAAAGCACCGGGGCTTTTTTTTTTTTTTCTTTTTTTTTCCTTTCTTTTTTTTTTTCCAAAAAACAACCTCAAGCTGGTCCGGGGCCAGGTCCCACTAGCAGCGTTGAGCTACCTCAACGCCTGAATCTGGACGTGTTTGTGGAGACGTGCAGTTCAGGAAACTCAACACCATTTCTGCACATCTCCGCAAAGGAGTCCAGATTCAGGCGTTGAGGTAGCTCAACGCTGCTAGTGGGACTTGGGCCCCGGTGTAGGCTGCCATGCTAATCTTCTCTCTGTGTATAGTTCCAGTTTTAAAGATGGGAATAACCCCTATACCCTGTCCCAGCGCCCAATTTGCGGATAATTAACATTCCTGGGACCAATAAGAGCCCAGGTTGATACTGCCAAAGTGCAGCTATACCAGGCTACCAGAATGCTCGAATTATGCACATACCCGGCAAATTATGTGCATGCCAATTTTTCCTGCCCATTTTCTGGGCACGAGCATAATTTTGTGCTCCCCAACCAAGAGCCTACCAACTAAGGGCGTGGGTACAGCACACGGGATATGGGTAAAGATGCACGTTGGGCACTGGGACTGGGTATACAGATTCCTTTGTCCCCGTTCATTTGTGATACCGGACTCTGGGGCTCATCCCATGAATAGATAGGAGCCCCTTTCTAGGTGTGGGGAAAAAAGAAGAAGAAAAAAAGGAAAGACTCGCCTTTTCTTTGTTTTTTGTAGAACAAATCTCTGTATTATAGGGCCCGTTGCCCTACCCGTAGAAGACCACACCAGCAGATGTCGAAAGAGCATAGACGCTTGGGTTGCCATGCTCCCCCTTGAGCGGAGGAGCTCCTCTGTGTCCCCTGCTTCATCTCCCGACAGCCACGGCATCAGACCCCTATTCACTGCACAATACAGTCTTCCCCCAAATAAAAAGTACGTATGTACTCTTTCTGCTTTCCCAGGAAAAGACGATTTCTCAAAGTCGCTCTCTCAAATCCAAATAGTACGCACATATGTTGTTACAAACAATTCATAAAGCAAGCTACGTGCAAGTTCGACGAAGTATTCCCCCCCTCACTCACCCCCCCTCTGTCTATCTAGCCTCAGCTCTTATCTTGGAGAGAGTTATTTGCACATATTATAGATCCTGCGGGTCACGAATGGTGTGCATGGCAGATCTTTGCGGCTGGCTGTCCAGGCATTGCGGGTCTCAGCGGATCTTGGGATATTGTGGCATGGCGGACTTTGGCGGCTGATGGCAACAGCAGATCTTGGCGGCAGAGCTGCATCTACTTCATACACAGCTGCAGCGCATGCTACACTACACAGTTTGAATGGTACATACAGCCGGTATGGGGGGCCGAATATTCGAATACTGGGCCCAGTGGCAACGAGGCCAGTGTTCTAACAGTGGCGGCTGAGTGGCCCCTTTCTTCTCGGGCTCTTGTGTTTTTCATAGGTACCCTAAATTCGCAGCACAATGCACGTGCTTTATATACTAATACCGCACACCACACCCGACCCGCTGCATTGTACTCGAATATAATGCACGAGCATTTTGTTGGGGGGAAGACTCTAGTATCCTACACAGACCCGTCATGCTAGCATTCTGCAGAGTGAATGCGAAAGCTCGACAAGGGTACAATACAAAACAGCATACAACTTCACTTCGAAAAGCTCTCACATTAGCGAAAGAGTAAGAATCAATCGTCCGAGTATTGATTCTTCAGCGTATTTCCACACAAGACCAACATTTCACACGAGGAAACCAATGCCACACCCCAACATTACTCAACCAAAAAAACACTGACACGCTATCCACACGGACCAGATCAGGATACCTGGCCGAATGCTTCGAGAACCAGGCGGCAACCTTCTGATCAGGAAGACGCTGACCTGAGCACCTTCCTCAGGCTTCCTGTGCCAGTCAATTCGCAAAGCGAACTCAGGGGCATTTTTACTTTGACAATAGAAGCCGCTCCCTCCACCATACAATATTCATCATGCATTTCAACCATTTCTGGACCAGGATCATTTGGACGGGTACAAAATTTTCTATTTTTTTTCTTTCTTTCTCTTCTTCTTCTTCTTTTTCTTTTTTTTTTTTTTTTTTTTTTTTTTTTTTTTTGACAGTCACACGGATTTTTCCGGCATATGGGTACGCCGGCCGGGTTAACTCATCACTCGCGGAATAATGTATACTTAACCAGTTACAGTCTTTGGGTTTAACAAAATTTTCTAATGTATGCGGCCCAGACAGCCCCTTCTATCATTTTCATGTGTTGACAACCAAATAGTCCAACCAAATATTCCAAAGAATCCCCGTGCGCGTGGTCTCCATCATAAAAGTGCGCGTGGTACAGAAGTGCGCGTGGTCTCCATCATGAAAGAGAGGTCTCCGTCCAAATTGCAACCAAGTAGTGTGCGATATACAGAAGTGCGCGTGGTCTCCATCATAAAAGCGGCCTCAACAGACAGCTGGCTCCCCTTGGATGGCAGCACTTTGCAGCCATCATGGGCGGCCCCATCATCTAACGGCTGCGGATAATCGCTTTTTTTACTACGCTTCGCTGCGACGCTGACCTGCCGGTCGCATGGGGACTCCCCCGAATACAACGTTCCCCCAGAGCGTGGAAGTCAAGTCCATCGAAGAATTCTCCGTTTTCTTTCCCCTCTCCTCGGTGTCCGTCGTCCGTCCGTCCATCGAGCAATTCTAATTTTAGAAACAGCGTCAAGTCGGTCCAAAAGTTGCCGCATTCGCACTGTAAGTTACCCAAACAGGAAACTGTCGTGTTCACAGTACGAGGTCTTCGCTGGATGTTGGTGGCTGCATTCGCACTGGATGTTGGTGGCTGGAGTCGAAGAAGTCCTGCTGTCAGTATGCACATCTCCACAAACAGGTCCAGATTCGGACGCTTATTCCCATCCTCTTTTCCAGTGGGATCTGGCCCTAAGAGTTGGAAGAAAAGCCATTGGCAAGGTTTCCAACTGCTGCTGCATTCGAGCGGTCTATTACCCAAAACGGCAATGATAGAGATCCCACCCAAATTGAAGGGCATCGCCACACACCACCCTCGAAATGTGCAGAATCAGAATGAACTTCGAGCTAGAACATGGCGAGATGCACCCGCCACATTTTTGTCTGTTTCACATTTCGAGAGTGGTGTGGTGAGGCCCGAAATGACAACGTGGCAGACAATGACGCCACCTCACGACAGAGTATGACGTCACCTCGCAGAGTGCTCCTTGGTCACGATTCCGCCTAGATTCCGCCTGTGCAGATTATGAGTGAACTCTGCACAGTTCATTTGCGAGAGCAACGGTAGGAGACGCTTTGATGGAAGGGGGGGAAAGTCGAAACGGCAATTTGAAAGCGGAAGATACCTGGGGCCTGGGCCCATCAGCAAAGAGGACTGGATTTAATTCCTGTATGTGGACGTGTTTCCGGAGAGATGCAGAGAGTTGTGATTGATCTGCTTTTCTGCATCTCTGCTGAAAACACATCCAGATTCGGGATTTAAACCCAATCCTCCCAATTTTTATGGGACCAGGCCCCTTGTCCCTGCCTTTCCAGGCGCACTGGAGTTTCTGGAGATGACGGTGTGTTTCCATCATGGAGGAGGGTGTATCGATGAAGGTTCTTCATGCGAGGGACGTTAATCCCCTGAGGCAGCCGTCAAAACTAGTCGGGGAAGCCCGCCTCAGCCAGTGCTATTAGCCTCTACTGTTTGGGCCTCAGCGCACTACTGACACAGCTTTGTTCTCTACAGGGGGGTTTCGGCGAGAGTCCCGAAGTCAGACTACTGCAGCGTAGAGAACGCAGCACCAGATCAAGCCTGCACTTATCAAGCCCTCTGTGCATGACACGGTTGAATGACGGACCCAATCATGCGATCTTGTTTCAAATAAATTGAATGAACTGAATTGCTGCAGATGCAGAAGACGCACCAGAGCCTTCACACTGAGAGCATGGAGCAATTTAGCCCCTCTTGCGCCCTACAAGCTTGGGTGATGGGCACAGCTCACCCAACAATGCTACCTTTGATTGAACCAGATCAGATTACTCCAATGCAGAGGGCGTGCGAGTGGATAGAGCCTGAGCTTAGTGCCGTGTGTTGTAGATCACGCTGGGCATAACGGGATTGGGTGGCGGACTCAATCCGCACAATCAAGCAGCTTTCAAATAACAAAAGTGCTCAAATTAAACCTACCGGACTACTGCAACGTGGACGAAGCACCAGTGCATAGAGCCTCTACTTACTTAGGGCCTAGTCTCTGCGCATAATGGGATTGGGTGGTGGACTCGGTCCACCCAATCTAGCAG